TTTTTGAAAAAGTATCAGGGTAACATGACCATCGAGGAGGTATTCACGGAAATTGAAAAATTCGAAATTTTTGAAAAAGTATCAGGGGAACATGACAATCGAGGAGCTATTCACTGAAATTTAAAAATTCGAAATTTCTGAAAAAGTATCAGAAGAGCATGACAATGGAGGAGGTATTCACTTAAATGTAAAAATTCGAAATTTAAAAAAAAAAAACAAAAACCAATTTTTTTACGCAGAAAATAATATTCACCCTGTCAACTGATCCCTCCGACAGCCGGATTGCTACTGAGGCAGTTACTGAGTCGGCCGACGGGTGGGGCGACCCCACCATTGCGCGTGGCACCCTCTCTCCCTTGGGGTGGGGTACTACGATGCGGGTGGGAGTCACTCAAACCCCCACTAGTGAGTCTTTACTTTAGTCAATCCTCATTGGTTATACCTTTGCCACCTCCCCCCGTAATCTTTGCTCGTGGCCGCAACCCCAGTTTGGCTTTACCCGCCGCGCATGTAAAGACTCGAAGACTCAAAATTTACCACAACAAGTCAATCCTCCTGTCCTCTACGGTTTCCCTTAACTCGTTATAACAATTATTGTTGTAATCAGCCTGTAGAGGTTAAATAATTGGTAAAATGCCTAAGAGAAGGCGTCAAGCTCTTATCCATTCGGACAGCGGAGAGAGCTCTTCGGACAGCGGCAGTGACTTAGAAAATGTGAGTAACTAACCTCAATTGTTTGGCAAACAAAACAAAGGAAATTTTTCAATTTTCTCATGACACCTGCATACGCCATTCTCATCAATCTTAATAGCATTATTCAATGTATGTTCATAATATTCTCAAGAGCATTGAAAATATTTTGAAAATATATCACGGTAACCTTGAAGGTAGTCCTAGACCTTGGGACGATTACAAAGACGAGAATCCCAACGTCTACATCTTCAATTTGTCTCATGCAGAGCTTCAGATGTGATTGAAATAATTTAATATTGCGTTGGGTTCATCAAAATAATGACAATTAAGCTGGTGAAAATAATTGATGCGTCTTGAGGAATTCATTGGAGTGGATTGATTTGTTATTTTTGTGCTCATCGTTTGTTCTCCAGGACAAACGAAATAAGAGGAAAGTGACAAACTCCAGTTCTGAGGACAGCGGTAGTGAAGATGAGACTGCCAAGATGTCAGAACCTGAAGAGGGTATGTATTTTCGAACAATAATTCCAATATGAAGTTTCGCAATTTATAATTTGTTACATTGTCGACGGAATTGAATTTTATTTAGCAAGGAATAAATGAAAGACAAGTCAACTTGTTACTTTTAACTACTGAATCACATTGAATTAATTGTTAATCAATGGAAAATTAATTGCACCAGGGGAGGTATCAGACTCTTACCCCAGCGGTTCTGACTCGAGTCAGGCGTCGTTCAATGATGGCTACGACGACGATCTCATGGGAGACGCTGAGGATCGAGCTCGTCTGGCCGAAATGACTGAGAAGGAACGGGAGCAGGAGATTTACAAACGAGTGGAGCAGCGAGAGGCCATGAAGAAGAGATTTGAAATCGAGAAGAAGTTGCGTATGGCGAGGAAGCAGGAGCAGCGAAAGATGAAGGAGTTCAAGAAGAAGGAGAAGAGTCAGGACGAGAAAAAGTACGAGAGGGCGCCTGATCCCAAGGAGCGCTCCAAGGATCGTAAAAAGACTATTGAGGAGAAGCAGGACAAGAAGTCAAATGCAATGGCTCTGTTGAAAGCTCGGAGGGAGGAGAGGAGGGAGCGTGAGGAGAAGGAGAAGGCGAGGATTGAGCAGCAACAGGCTCAGTCGAAGGATGACGAGGAGGAGCTCGATGATGATCACAAGGGGGGCAGCAAGACAAAGCTCAAGGCTTCTGATATTTATTCAGACGACAGTGGATCGTCGGATAGCGAGCCCGAAGAGGAGGCCCCCAAGGCAACTGCAGCTCGTCGATCCTCATCCAGTGACAGCCGAGACTCCGACTCCGATGGAGACAAGAAGTCTGTCGCATCCGCTAAAGTCAAGCCCAAGAAACCACTCTACGTCAACACAAAGGATGAACTCAACAAGGTTCGATTGTCCAGGCACAAAATGGAGCAGTTTGTGCATCTTCCTTTCTTCGATAGAGTGGTAATAGGCTGTTTCGTCAGGATTGGCATTGGAAATAATAACGGCAAGCCTGTCTATAGAGTTGCTGAAATCAGTGGTGTCTGCGAAACTGGAAAGATCTATCAGCTTGGCAACACTAGGACAAACAAGGGATTGAAGCTCAGACATGGAGCTCAGGAGAGAGTCTTCAGGCTTGAGTTCATTTCTAATCAGGAATTTACTGATTCCGAATTCTTCAAGTGGAGGGAAACCTGTGCCCTCCAGGGAATTTCTCTGCCAACTTCTGATGAGATTGATAGCAAGTTAAAAGACATCAAGGAGGCACTTGTCTACGAATTCAAGGAGGAGGACATCGAGAAGATCGTGAAGGAGAAAGGCAGGTTCAAGTCGACTCCTTATAATTATGCCATGAAGAAGGCTCAACTCATGAGGGAGAGGGATGCTGCCAACTGCAGGGGCGATGACACCACTGCTTCCAGACTCAATCTCGAATTGAGTGAGCTAGAGGAGAGGGCCTCGCAGCTTGACAAAATGAGGACCGCCACTATCTCCAGTATTTCCTATATCAATGATAGGAATAGGAAGAAAAATGTCGAGGAGGCTGAGAAGGCCATCATGGAAGAATTCAAGGCAAACAAGGGGAAAAAGATCGATGATCCCTTTACCAGAAGAAGCACAAAACCCAGAATGAATTATAAACCTGAGGAAGAAGAGGCTGCACCTATGGTTGTGAGTGACAAGACTGTTGTCCCCGTTAAGGATGCCGTTGTTAATAATAAGGAGAATGGACGGGAGGCACCTAAGAAACCGACCATTGAGGACCTTTTCAATGCCCATAATTTCGATATTACGATAGATTTGGAAGTACCTGTTCCAAGTGAGTATTCTTTTTCAATCAAATGCTATTACTTCATCATTTAAAAAAAAAATCAGTTTTGTTATTACTAAATCTTTTATAGTGGAGTTATTTGGTTTATCTAGTCATGATTAATTGATCTGTGATTTATTTTCCAGGCAATCCTGTGATGGTTCTCCCAAAACCCGTGAGTCGTATCAAAGATACTGGCCCTCGAAGATCACTGAACCTCGAGGACTACAAGAAAAAACGTGGCCTCATCTAACACTGCTCTCACCTCTATAATCAAGCACAAGTTTATAAACGATTTACTTTTCGCAACTGTATTTTCGCATGACGGTACGACATAGGTATTAATACCAGAAAAAAACTTGGCGTATCTTCGAGACGAGATAGAAAATGCGACATATATTCATCATCTTCGTCTCACGTGAATATTTGAGTTCCACGTATCTCTTTATCAAGTTAATGTCATTGATTTTTCATTTATTAATTCAGAGTCGAATGAACACTCGAAATCACTCGTCTCTTTGCCAAAAGATTATGTATATAGTACGAGATGAATTTACGATGATGTTGGCGTTACGAGTGCGAGCCAAGTTACCTATTTTACACATGCTTGATAAAATCTTTCGCTCAATATTTTCAATATCTGTTGACTTGGCCGACCTGCAGGGTTTCTCAGTAAAATAGAATATTGGATGAAGAGAGTGGCTGGAGAAATGAATAGTCTGAGACTCAAATTGATTTCTACGATCAATGTAGGAATAAAACGTGCGATTGTACTCGTCTCTCATCTTTTATTAATTAGCTGTAATTCGTATTAGATGAACATTCTTGTATGTTGTAATACAAAAACAATTTTAGGTTGACGTGTGCGTTAATTTGATTTTATTTTATTTTAAGTTACTTAAATTATAGGGATGCGCTGATGGTTGCAGTATTAAGAGTGTGAAGCCGACAGGTCCATTGATAATTAATCATTCGAGGGGTGCAGTAGTCGATAAGTAATCGAACAAATGCGTGAGTATAATTACCACGGCAAACCACAAAAGTTCAGATGGTTGAAATGTTCAAGGAACGAAATATTTGTATATAAAGAAGCATGTAAATAAGTAAAATCATGAGACATAAACGCTGAATTCCTTGGCTATAGAATACGAATACATCAGAATAATTTATGTATCAATAATAAATATAATTGTATTATGACATTAAATTAGAATCTTCGAAGACAATGACTCTGATTAATGGTGTTGAAAAATCCTCATCACCCATTCCAATCGAAAAGGTGTGCATTGAATTTAAAAAAAAAAAATAAACGAAAACAGTGGCACTTCGATCCATTTGTGTATGCGCGCGCGTCTTGTCTCGTAAATAGTCGAATTGTACCGAGGAAATAATCCATCTCTCTCTCTTTCTCTCGGGTGTACTTCCACTGCCCATATAAGGCAATTTCCCCACGTCCCGTCACCCCATTGGTCGAGGCACCGCTGGCACGTCATGCCCGATGACTAATTTCGCCTAATTCACTGGCTTTTTACATGTAACCAATGAGCTCAAGAGATTCCATTACAAAATATGAGACGAACCTATACCCAGAGACCCGATAATTGATAATAAAAAAAATAGTGAACGATCGTTGAATTAAAATGAGCGGTTGTCGAAGGGATGGTACCGTTCAAAAATAGCGTTTACATAAAGCCACCGGTTGGGCCGCATGACGCCCCAACTACGCGTGAAAATTAGTCCATACCGGCATCACCATAAATGACCATTTTCCCCAGTGACATTCACCGGAAAATCATCAACGATGAGTCCCCGAAGACGAGGCTATCTCTGGAAATTTTAATAGATAAAAAAAATCGAGGGAATAGCTGGGATAGTAGTTAAATGAAAATTGAACGAAATCCCTGAATAACCGGCGATAGTGGTAGGCCATTGGAATCGACCAATGGGATTATCCGTATGACGTATGCGCGCGCACGCGTAATGATACATTAACAGTAAAACTGTGCGCCAGCAGAAAGGCATCTACAGAGGATCCTCCCTTCCTCGTCGTTGGTGTACGCGACCCCCAACTGGACACATACCCGAGGTATCCAGTTCTACCACAGTCGAGAGATTACCAGTGGGAAGTGTTGGTAGTGCTTGTTTACTCGTTTCTCCTTGGCTTTGACTGCTAGTTAAAAATGGTAAATATGATTCATTAATACGAATACACATTGTACAGTTTAAATTCGTGGAAAATTGTGATTGAGGTGTGAAATGAGGGGGAGGGACAAGGGGGGCAATGGGGGAATTTTGGTTCCTCCCGGCACGCAACAACTTTTGTGGTTATGGCGAGGAGAGGAGGCGGACGCGCCAGTCGCCATTTCTGTTCCCCCCCGGCACTCACGACTCGATAGCACATTTTTTTCCCTTTTCTTTTCATTCATTGTTGAAATATCAGATTTTTTTCAACAATTGATTCGCCGTTCTGACGAGCATTTGATGGGATTATTGGTGATCCGGGGCTTGCACATGCCGTGAGGGAGTCACTGGGGTTTTCATGGTTCAACCGTCACTGCTCCAATCGTGAAACAACGTCGTTGTCAAGGGAGTGCCGTACTCGTCCTTTCCAGGAAGCTAACGGGCGTGAATCACTTATTTTCAGGGATTTCTAGAGAAAAGCCAACGATTGACAGATCACGATTATCCGCTTCTGTCTCTAGTCCGTGCACCATTCGATTTTAATCGCTATTCTCTCTCACTTCCTCCAGTCGTGCGGTCTTTTTCTTTCTCTCATTTTTTTTTTTTTTCATTTTTTCCCTCTAATAATCTTGTATGGCCTGGGATAATTCGAAGGAGAGCACTGGAATATCAAGGCTAGACGCATCGTTGCACTCTCCCGGTTAGAATTATATTTCAGTTGCCGGCATTACGTGGCCAATTCAAGGGGTACCCCTTTTCTCTCTCTTGGTATCTCGGTCTCTCGCACACGCGTTCGCCAACGGTGGAATCACTCTGTCTCGTTCTGTTTCATTTCAGTCTGTCTCAGTCTCATGGCTCTTCTTCGCCGGCTCTTTTCGGACTCCTCCATCCGATACCCGACGAATATTTATACACTCTCTCTCGGTTCTTTCCCCTCCCCTCAATGTCGTCGTGCTTTTCACTGACGAGACGACACCTCTCAATGGCGTTTATAACGTACATTTTTCGACTCTCAAAAATTCTCCACAAATTTTGTCTGGCCAACTGCTGGATCACCCCAGCTGACGACAAAAAAAAAATCACTCTAGGTATGTGCATGGCGAATTCCTCAATTCCAGATTTTTAATACCAGGAGCATTGTACTTTCCTGGGTATCTCCGTGTGGAGATAAACTTGAAGTGCCTTACGTTATAATGCATTTATCGATTGAAATGACAATCGCATGTGTCTGGGATGCAATCCAAGTCCTAGGAGTTGGCAAACCATTCGAGGAGTTGAAACTTCTTGAAATGACTGGAGGGCGTATGAAATTGGAGATATCCAGACGATTCTATTCATTGGAAATGTTGCAGAAACTCCACGGAGGGCTCTAGTCACCTCTGGACAAATCCGTTAATCACGAGTGATTGTAAATAATTATCAATAATCATCGATAATCAGCGGCAATTATGACACGAACACCATTCAGTCAATGGACAGTGATTTCTATTGTAAATGAATGGTGCAGCTCTCTCGAGCAAGACAGAGATATTGAATTCAATGGTCAGTGATTCTCAAGGTCTGACTAGTTGTCAGCATCCTGGCTATCGTCAACTGCCGGTGACTACTGCTCGTTACCGCAGGGTCATGAAGGGAAGGCCATTGATCTTGTTAGTTTTTTTTTTCTTTTTCACGGATTTGTAGAATACGAATGCACTCCATTACGAATCATGTTCTGGATGACCTTGGTAGTTTTGACGTAGAGGGAGCTTTTGCTCTGGCCCTTCATCCCCCCATTGACGACGCACATATCGATCGACCACACTCCGGTCTCTCATCCCAATCTCTTCGTTGAATTTATCTCAAACAACCCCTCCACCCTGTTTCATCTTGTTGCGCGCGTGACGCCATTTTCAAATTTATTTGAAATTTCGAGAATTCTTTCCTTGCATTCACTGGGCAGATTCTGATTTTTTAAAACTATTTTTCTAACGACACCATTATTACCAATCAATAATTAAATTAAATTTCTTTTTCAATTCAGTCAATTAGAGTTGTGAAGATCAATGAGATTGATTATCGATTGAAAAGAACATACGTAATGAGTAATAGTAATAATAATAGTGATTTATTTAATGAAAACTTCTCGTCCGCAGTGAATTCGTAATACTTTTTGTTGAGAGATAGTCAGAAGTTAGTGAATAATGTTGTTCTTGTTGAGTACATCCCCAAAACTAATTCCTTGTCTTAAGAAAATATTAATTCTGCAGAAATAACATCTCTGCGTTGGCAGGGTAATCAGCCGTTTATTTTTTACCCTGAGAAAAGAAAAACATGCATTTTCCGGGATTCACTTTGGCGTAATTCCGTAAAATGCCGCGTACTCTCTGTCATAAAAAATTTGAGCATTTGTCCCACCCCTGTATTATTTCTAACCCAGACCCCATTCAAATGGACTCTTTGAAATATACCTCAAACAACCCTCCAACCCCATATTCTTAGTGTGCGCGCGTTCCATAATACAGTAACAAAAACCTGCAGTCTTCAATACGTAAACCTTTTTATTTTGCAATTCGGATGGCAAACCACAGTAGGGAAATCCTGTTCTCTTTTTCCATCGTCAGACGGATATAAGTGGGCCTCTAGTAATAAATAAAACTATAAATGGAAATTCAAGGGATTATATCGTCTGTTGGTTATCTATTGACACATTGCCATTGGGATTTTTTTGAAGGAATCAAGAGGTTTTATTTTTATCGATTATCACACGTCGATAAGCCGCTCATCTACTCTGACACACGCAATTTCTTTCATTCCGGGCTTCAACATTCCTGACGAGAATACGCGAAAATAAATTTCCTTACTAAAACTACTTGATAGATAAAAAATAAAATGATTAACAAGCAATTTATTATGCTCCCCAAAGTGTTTGAATGATCAACGAAATGATTAATGATTGCTCTCTGGAGATTTTTATTCACTGACTTTTTTATTATTATTTTTTTCAGCGTTATTTATATAGTATACTCGATTCAACATATCGATTGACGTTTATAAAAAATGTTGGCCTGGAATGCCCCATATGTAGAGAGTGCGACATTTTCTGATGAGTATTAGAGTTGGATGGGCGCCTATTGGTGATGCAGCTCTACGTGATTTTTAGCTTGACCGAGTTTTCATAAAAAAAATGAGTAAACATGCTGAATGTTACATAATTTTGCGGGAATAGATAAATCTCAGCAGATGATGGATGACACGAGAGAAGTTAACATCCTCTGGCCGGTTGTTTTTATTGAAAGCAATTGAAAATTGATGGAGTTGAGGATTAATCTCTGGCCCTCGTGGTATCTTTTAATTGATCGAATGGTGAGTTCGCGTGGTTGCTCCTCTCCGTGACTAGACTAGAATGGTGGGCTCCTGGTTAGCGATACCAGGGGACACTAAAATAATTCTTCCCACGCGCGTATAAACTAAATGGGAGGGCAGTCAGATCCAATTCTAAAGTTATCCGTCGGCGCACTTGGACACGTGGCACGTTCCGGAGGTGTACGTCGACCGCTGTCCGATTGAAAACAGGAGTAAAAACTGGGGGTTTATGGAGCGTTGATTAAAACGGGATATCAGGGTCGACTGCTCACTTGTTTTTGGGGTCGGGAAAAACAGGGGGGGGCTCAGCCATTACAGTGAGCGATGACTTTGACCTGCATTTTTTTAATTTTTATAATGAATTTTCATGATTTTTCGGGGAAATTTTTTAGGCATCCGGAGTTACTGTAGCTGACATCTGCAAGACGACGTACGATGAAATTAAGAAGGACAAGAAACATCGGTATGTTATCTTTTATATCAAGGACGAGAAGCAGATTGATGTTGAGGTCATTGGACCCCGTGATGCTGCCTACGACAACTTCCTCGAGGATCTGCAGAAAGGGGGCAGTGGCGAATGCCGTTATGGACTTTTTGACTTCGAGTATACTCATCAATGTCAAGGCACCTCTGAGGTGAGCACTTTCACCTTGGACTCTTCCTTCCGAGGAACATTGCGCAATTAATTATTACTATTGAATTATTTATGAAGTGATTTTCGATTGAAAAAATTTTAATCTAGTGTTATCAAGCAAACGAATAATGAAACGACTTTTCCTCAGGCTTCCAAAAAACAAAAATTGTTCCTGATGTCGTGGTGTCCCGACACAGCAAAGGTGAAGAAGAAGATGTTGTACTCGAGCTCATTCGATGCACTTAAGAAGTCCCTCGTTGGTGTACAGAAGTACATTCAGGCGACGGATCTCTCGGAGGCCTCTGAGGAGGCTGTCGAGGAGAAACTCCGTGCCACCGACAGGAATTAAAAGTATTCCGGGAACATCCTCCCCTCAAAAGCTACTACTACAAGAAAAAGAACGACGATAAAGAAAAAAAAGCGGAAAAAAGGCAAAAAAAAATATTGAAAAATGAAAGCGTGGATTCGAACGGGTACATCTCCCTTCCCAGAGCAGACCAAAAAATGCTCGTGTCACATCGCGTTCGGAGGTTCATCTTTTTACACAATTTTTCACTTAAAGTAATGAATTAAATGGAAAAAAAAACTGATTATTAGATATTTCGCGCTAAACGTATTAGTCATGATGATGTCAGAGGCCAACAGTGATCGAAGGCTTTTTCACATTTAAAATGGAAAAGCACATTTATCAGTACCAGAAGAAACATTCAATGAAATAAAGATACAATTGCAATGAGCTATCCTCTTTTTCTCATACTGCGGTCGTTGGCGTGAATCTGTCTGATATGATTAATGATGTACTATTATTATTGTAATAAGGTAATAATAATTGTAAAAGATTGCAACAATTTACAAAATGGAAGTCATGCAGTCGATGAATAAGAAAAATCACAAACCAACAAAAAATCATTTATTATTATTATCGTAATGGCAGCGATTTAGGCGTTAAATTCATTTGAAAATTATACTTGGTGATTGACAAGTCTTCACCACAATTTAATTTCGAGCTTTCTCTGGGTATCCGTCGATCGCCGGGGGCATTGGAGCTTCATTGACCCACCAATAATTGCATTTCTCCAACTGTCGAGTGAATTTCGAGGGCAGAGATCTTGAATAAAATAAGAAACTCCGGTGTTTACTCCGCGTTGTTTCTCGAAAGGAATTCCTCAATAGTAAAGTCATTTCAAATAAATACAATGGGGGAGACAATGGAAAACAATGAGTCACTCGAGTCAACAAAATCGTATGTCATTCAATATTATTCTATTGTCCTCACGCACAAAACTGATGATAGAGAGGAATGGGAGCCACTCAATCGACTTATCACCTACTGTACAATTTTTAGGTCGTAATAAATAAAACTCGAGTGGATTATCGAAGGATTAATGATTTTTGCATAGAACGGGCCCATCAAGGATTCAACATTACGTTGTTGTTAGGTATCTTAACGTGGAGATTAAGATTATCAGACTTGGGAGGATTTTTCTGGTGGATGCACCATTTGATTCTGATAGCGACTGCTGGAGTGCTGGACTGCCCAAGACCACAGCTAAAACATAATTATCCGTAATTACTGCACATTGTCAAACAATTTAAAATTATCATTTAATTTCTGAATATTTAAATCGTATTTACCTCGAAAATTACGAAATTCTCTCAATAAATCTCAAGATCGATCAAAATTTATTGATAAAAACGAAGAACAGGGGAGAATTGTTATTTAATATGTGGGCAATGAAAAATAGGAAAATTGCAGTAAAATGAATTACCTGGTGCTGACTCGCTGTACACCTCGACGACCTTATAATGCTCTTTGTGAGGAGCTAGCAAAGAGGAAGGAAGATTGATAATAACAATGGCGACTGGTGATCCGAGGGAAATAAGTTTTTAAATTAATAAAAGTCATTGTGATACTTACGTGCACCCTCGGTAGAGAATCTCTGTACCTTGGAGGGTTTACTCCATCCGTAGCGGTTTCTGGCTAAAACGAGTGCCTCGTAGTACGTAGCTGGAGCTAATCCCGTGAGATTAAAACACTTAGAATGGAGTGGTCCAATCGCTTCACTTCCGCTTGGGATGAAGAGCTTGTGCCAGTCATGACGCTCCGAAGGCTGATGAAAAAGTTTAATGCGGGTTTAATGTTGAAAAATTTTCCTCACCATCAATTCAATATGTAATTCAATTATTTCCAATCATATCATCATTTTATTTTATTAATTTAATCTTGATTCAATTACTATCAATCATAACGAACTGAACTCCAACTAAAATTGAAATATTTCACACGAAATTGACATGATATCGAAATTGTCTAGCTCGTCTAATCGTTTATAGCAGAAGCTGAAGTCAAGTGAATGGAGAAGATAGAGAAAATCGAGAAACGAACCCAATACTTGCGAAACCAGAATTGGTACTCGATGATTGGACTGTAGCTATCCACTTCCCAGATGAAATTGTAAGCATTTCGCGACATGGGATTGGCCTCTTTGAAGAAAGCGGCATTGGCAATACCTGATAGCTCAATCGGTGCTTCGGTCACACCGAGATTATTGGAGGCTTTGCACTGGTAGTAGCCGTAGTCGGTTGCCCTGACATTTCTGATGATGAGACTGTGCACTTGGTCCGCAGTGTGCTTGACAATTCTTGATGAGAAGTGAATTTTCTCACCCTCGAAGTACCAATCTATCAGGGCCTCCGGCCATGCACTCACCCTGCAATCCAGCTGTACCCTCATCCCCGGGGCCGCGTGTATCCAACTCTTCTTCGGCTCAATCTCCGGTTTATCTAGAGTGAGGCGATTAACATTGAGGGCATTCCCTGATATCACTCGGATTTCCATTAAGATTTTCATCAGGGTGGCGGTAATTACAGGATAATTATGGAAAATGAAGGCTCAGATATTTTTTCAGGTCAATATCGATTATCCATATTCGTAATTTTTTTTTTATGTGTTTTATGTATTTTATGGGGTTTATCCAGTGGTATAATTAAATAAGTTTTACTTTGAGACAATTGACTGATGTCATTCATCAGACAGTGGCTGCATGCACTGGCTCGAAAATGGAATTTGTAATTGCGAATTTCACCCACTGTGTACTCTCACACGTGGTTTTGTATGATTACTTCCTGGTCAATTAAATGGCTGGCCCCACGTGTTGAGTTGACCTCAGGATTAACTCGCCCGGGTCAAATCGAATAACCGATTTTAATTCGAGAGATTAATTGTAAAAATTGTGCAGACTTATGCAGTTGTCTATCGAGAAATAATAATAGATATTGATTTGCTGTGCGAGCTCTTGACCAATTTTTTTTTATTTATTTATCTTGTGTTTTGTTGTGAATAACGGGGAAAATCGAGCAGAAAGAATAGGGAAATTAATTATTTTTTAGAGTTCTGGAGGGAATTAAGTGGAATTTGGGGATTAAGAGGGTTGAGAGGAGGTGAGAGGTTTTGTAGAAATTTTTTTGTTAATTGAGAGGATAGATTGATTATCTGATTATTGATCAGATTATCACTGAGGACTTACAACGAATGCGAAGTTCTATGGCGGCAGTCGCGGGGTCACCGACCCCATTGTCAGCAACGCAGGTGTATCGACCGGACAAGCTTCGATTGTCTGCTGGAAACCGCAATTTCGATCTCTCGTCCAACAGCTTCATCTCCTCGTCCTATGAAAAATAATCCCCATGAAAATCATAAAGTGGGATAATTAATTTCCTAATAAATTTCCTAAATAAATTCGCATGAAGATTTTTTTTTATTATTTGTTATTTCAGAATCTTTTAATTTCCTTAGATCTAATATAAATGCAGTAGTCACCTTCATCCTCCAAGAAATACTAGGATAAGGAACTCCTTTAGCAATACAGGCAATTTCCACCTCATCCCCGAGGTTCACCTCGAGCTCTCCAGCTTCTGGCACGGAATGCACACTCGGGGGATCTATCGAGACAGAAAATCAAATGCAGTGGTAAAACAAGAGAGCCCCTGCGGCCCATTGAATATCCACGAAAGGTGTCATGGTTCAGAGAAGACAAGTGCAAAGTGGAATTCCAAGGGAGAATTGAAGGATAAAAATTCAGACACTCGTCTCGAATTTCATACCCGTGGGAGGGTATGGTATACGTATCAGTTGTCATCAGAACTCGATTTTCAGAAGTAGCTTACACATAACTTCGATCGCGTGGACCTGTGTGACGTGTCCCCAGGACGATGGCCTCGTTGCTTGGCACACGTATTCACCAGAATCCTCGGGCTGCACTTGGGATATCTCCAGGCTCATGTTGTCCCACATCTTTACCCTAGGGTCAAGTACAAAGTTTGGGTCACCACTGTCCGCAAGTTGACGGTCGTCTTTCCACCATCTCACTGTTGTCGGTACACCTGGAGTATATGTTCAAGGACTCTTTACAATTTTTCACAATTTCAGGATGACAAATCATGGGAAACGAATTTTTATTTCAAGTCTCTAATATTCACGTCCAAAGAAACTCGTAAAGTGGAGGAAAACAAATTTTATAGTGCACGTAAGATCGATTGGTACTCGGGATTGAGTAATTTTGAGTCATTCTCCATTTCACTGGGTTGATAAAAAATTAATAGAAAAATTTAACACCCGGAAATTGATTATCCCCCCAGGATTTCTCGAGAAGGACTCCATCTTCTTGAGTATTCTCGTACGTGCAAATGATTGGAGCGAAATAAAGAATGAAATGCAAATAGTCGAGGACGTTTCAGCCTACGTCGACGACGAGGAAACTACCCTCCAGGGACTGCGGAACCCTCCACCAGAGCTTTCATTTCCCCCGGGGGATTGACGCGTCTCTCAGAAGGATAAACATAAAGAGCAACAAAAAAGTTAGAGTTACGGAGGGAAAAAAATCATTACATTGGTATTTAATGATTCAAGAGAATTTCGGTGAATTAAAAATAGAGAATTCTTCATAAATATTTATTGAACAACAGTCAAGTGAATAAATAGAGTGTCATCATCACTTACCGAGGCTGTCCACATGGCAGGGAAGAACGACTGTTTTATTCTGGTAAGTCCTCGCCGTCGTTTGGGCACTATTAAAACTCCAGGATGATGAGATCCAGATTCCTTGAACGAAAAAAGGGGAAGAAAAAATTCAGGGCATGTAGTAATGGAGTTTTTCCATAAAGTTAATGAAATCCTGAGGAATCGTCTAGGTGAGTACCAGCGGAGCAATAAATCCGATGGAGTGGCAAGGGGTCTTTTGTCACCCCTGGGACTTTTACCCCAAATTGAGAGCTCCAATTACAGCGGCATTAGGAACTCGAAGCTCTGGTTAAACAACGAGACCAATAACCCTGACTTTTTTCTCCTTCCTCACTCGGTTACCTCTTGGAGAACGCCAAAAATCCGGGTTGGGGCGTTAGATGGGACCAGAGGAATAAAATTTGTAAAGGAAACGAGACGTCATTAAAATTCTCCCCCACAAAATTTGAATTTCAAATGAAGGGATTTGAGGGGAGGAAAAAAATGGGAGGAGAAAAATTGTGTCACCCGAAAGTTCGCATTGATTCCGGGGGGAAAACCGTTTGTTTCCGATTGAAAAACATTTTTCACGGGATTGCTCTGTGTGTCACTGGGGATGCACTGCGTCCGGAGATGTTTGGATATACATTTTTTTTTTCTCTTCCTTTTTAATTTCCCGATGAATTGATGGATGGTGGACTGCGTTGGAAATTCAAGGGGGAAAACTGTGTTTCGAGTTGGGGTTAAAATTTAATGGGGCAGTTGGTTTCGTGCGAATGTCGTACCACAATTGTTACCGCACGTTGCATGATCGCTTCCATTTGATTATCACGAATTTCTAGAGCTCTCTTTTTTTATTCCAAATAAGTGCTTTTGCATATGTTCGTGGCGAGACTCAATGAAATTCCCCAAGGGGATTACAACGAATGAGAATTTTATCTTCAATTTTTCCAAGGGATCAATTTAATTTTAATTATTCACTTTCCAATTTCACATTTTTTAAAATTGTAATGCAGTCTGTACTGATTTTTTAAAGAAAATATAAAGAAAATATAAATAATATAACAATAATTTTTAATATCTTTCTTCCGTGTGGAAAAATCTTGTATAAAAGTCGGGTGTCATTGCGGAAATAGATAAGACATATCAGAATAGAAGAGGAAGTACTTTATTTGAGTTATGACTTGCTGTCTGCTCCAACCTTTTTTTCCATTACAACGAGAAAAATGTAAAAGCAAATCCTTCTCTATTTTTACAATCACCCTTTCTCATGAATATCCCACCCTTCCAGGACTCCGTTTATCGATAACATCAATGCAAAAATTACATTGCGTGTTAAAGGGCAAGTCGGCCAGTGGATAAAAACCTCCCCCAGGCAATCTGCACGCACTCATTAAGTCCAGTAGATTAGCACGTGAAAAAAAAAATATATAAACAAATAAAATGATTCTCATGATTCGAGGATAAATCCACTGCACCATAAATTAGTAAAAGGAAATATCACTGGAATATTTTCTTACCAAACACGAGAACACTGTGCCATCGAGATGACATTTTGATGTTGAACTGATATAACTGAACAATTTGTTATTAAAATCGATGGACTTGGGGAGCAAATGTCGTCGAGTGAAATCCACGAGTTCTTGAAGACCAACTGGTGCTTGATCCCAAGACAAGGGTCCACCGATGCGTGTTCCCCCGGGTGCCCTCTCACTTTCTAATCCATCCTTCACTACATTCATTCCCTGGATGTAATTACCACCAGTTGTCCACTGCGGAACTCAGTGGCTCTCATCTCCCCTTGAAAAATATTCTGATTCATCATTCAATCATCTCGTGACTCGTCTATTCAATGCCCGGGAATTACTAATTCAATTTCGAGATAAACTCATGAAATTTTCTGTCACCACTGGCTATCACTTCACCAATTCACCAATTTATTTATTTCATCACTTCTGTGATTTCTTCATCTGTCAATTTATCATCGACTCTCGGAGAAGTTTCCACACTACAGGTGACTCGGAATAAAAAAAACCCTACTAGGTAGTCCCTCGTTAATTACGATTTAATTGAACGAAAAATTATGTGTTAAATAGAGGCGAGGTCATCCTTAAAGTTCAAGTCAAGACGAGATGATTTTATTCATTATTTTTATTTATGTATTAAATTATATTAATATTATTTGAATTCGCGAAGAAATTCCATGAGTTTGAATTTATTGCTTCCATCATTTCGGGTTGGTAAATGCGATGCTGGGGCTGTTGATGAGGCCATGGTGAAAATGACCGTAAAAATAGCTCCTGTGGGTGATGCCGAGGTGAGAGCCTCTGGGAGCGTTAAATCGGCTGGTGTATAGGGGCTGGGGCAACACCGAAAGGGCATTCTTCAGTAATTTGCTCAATTTACGCACCGACACGAAACTCCTATAGAATCATTCATCGAGTTATCCCCATTCAGACGTTAATCCAATCTTGAATTGCACCCAGGCCATTGGTGCGGGCTATTATCCACTGAAAGAAAAATACATGACAACGAAAATTCGTTGAGGCAATCAGATGCAGAACAATCGAGAGTCCAAAGTCTCCCCTCAATTCCTCCAAAACCAATTTATTTCACTTGCTCATTAATTGATTATTTATAAATTATTCATGAACGTGTTTATTGCGGGAATAATGAGACTTGTGCTATCTGGGTAAATAGCGAATTTCCATTTTGCCAAAAATTCCTGAGAGCTCTCGTAAAATGTCGGCCAAAGGGAAATTGCATTACGTGCTTGAACAATGAAATGGTGATTTTCAGATTATAGGTATTAATGCACTCGAGCCCAGAGTCTTGACACATTGTTTCACATTGTTCACTGTCCTCACAATGGAATTACATCGGATTTGCCAGCAACAATGTTGATAATTGTCGAATGAATTACTCCCATAATCGATATTGCGGATATTTCGTTGGTTTATTATCCTCGGGATACTTCCATTCGCGACCTTCATTGCTCCACGTGACTATTGAAAAATACCAACGATAGACAATAAATCGGTAACATTTGGTCTGCGGTCTCGTGCATTCACGATTAACGATTGTTTTGAGAGGAGAATTGCATTATTTATCGTATTATTTCGCTCATTGGGTGCAGACCCATCCACTCGACGTTATGTCAGCTCCAGAGCTTTAATGACTAATGATAAAAGGAATAAATTCATGCATATACCTTTTGCTACTTTATTGCGTCATAACCGGTGAATAAAATTATTTCAACTCCGCCTGGATTGCCAGTCCCCAATGGCCGAGGCTTTTATGACGGTAAATCGTGATGAATGCGATGATTATCGGTAATATCCCCAGGAGGTGATGGATGTGGCTATTTTTGTGATGCCCAACTGAAGAAACTATGAAAAACTCTAAGAACAACGGCCAAAGGGGGAAACGAGGGAAAAGAGGATTTTCCCTCATCATCACACCGATCACTCCATCATCGATTTGCTGGACCGCAGATTATACTCCCCTCACCTCCACCTCTCGATTTCATGTTTCGAGGTATAAATCCGGAATTACACGAGATCAGGGCCATACATATTCACCCATGACCTGCACGGGAATTCTTGGTTTTAACGAATCGCCAATCAGAGCGGCTACAACCGTTTCCATATATTAATACCCAATTTCGCTTGACACTGGGAGAGATGAAAAATTACCCCTTCACTCAGCAAAATTTAATTGGCACGCTGTTGGGCAATTTGAATATGCTGTTGGGGTTTTTTTTTTATTTTCAATTGTATTTGCAATGTGTCGGGTATTGGATATTACTTTGAGGGTGAGACTTGGGGAGGAACAGAAATTACACGGAATTTTTTCTCCGGAATTCATTGGATTTATTGGTGAGTAGTTGAATAAATAGGAATTAATTGAAATAGAGATTTTCTGTGGGTTATTTATATTTGGTGATTTTTTTGGATTTTGGAGTCTGGGGGAAAATAGTGAAATAATGACTGCTAGCTGTTATTATGTCTCATGAATAAAGATTGCAAGGGGTCGGTGGTTCAGACTATTTCCATGAAAGGGCTGTATCCTCTCTCATCTCCGGGTAATCCTATTAGATGATGACATTAAAAACGTAATCAGCAAACCGTCGGGTGATCTCAGGGAGAGCCATTGGCCGCGTTTTTCCGGATGCGGCCAAGTGAATGGGCAAAAAAGTAATGATCAAAGGAGTAGAAGAAGGGAAAAAAAAAACAAATGGATGAGACGAAATTTGCGGCGTTTAATTAGAGGTAATTGAAGGGGGCGTTTCGCGCTGTTCTTGATGTGTTCTTGGGTTCAATGAATTTTTTTTTTGTGGTGTGATCGGAAGTTGGGATCTGGAAGGTCGTGGAGCAGATGGAGATGCCCATTTGCTCGGGTTGTCTCGGTGACAAAGTGACGGAGAATCCCGGAGTTAATTACTCTCATCGTGATACGTAGTTAACTCCGACACTCGATTCCCCACCGAACATGAATAATTATATTACAGGTTGGTATGCAAAATGGGGTATTCCGAGGAGAGTAAATACATGGTGGAGCACTTGACACCTTCAATGCTGTTGCGCATAAATCGTGAATTAGTGTGTGGGTTTCTGGACGCTGATAATAATGCGTTAACATGCTATTTCAGGGCTTCACTTGGAGTCCCTGACCTTCTTCAACATGTTCACGAGATTTTTCGGGAATTATTCGGGTCGACATGCGTCCCACTGCAGGAGTCACTCGAATAAACATGAGGTTGTTCTACGTCGAGAGGTAAATGTCAACCATTACCCCAAAATCAACACTCAGCTTCAGTTTACGTTCACTGTTTTTAATTAATTGAATATTTATTCACCCATGCAGTCACTGAAATTATTATTTATCTAAATCTGCAGTTGAATTTTTTTCAGCAGTGGAAAATTGCCGCGTCAGGGATTCTTCTAGGATTTTTAGGGGATATTCCCCGCACAGATGAGAATAACTCAATTAAAAAATGGAAAGTCCATGAATAATTTTTCCTGGATTATAAAAAAATAGAGATATGAAATAGATTTAGGAATGATCAATTCAAATGAGACCGACAACTGAATGATAAACCCGTAATTCTGTCTCGTTATCAAGACGGCCAGGTGGGGAAAAACTTGTGCTAAAATTTTCGGTTGCACCGAGTCGGGTGAAAATTATGCAAATATATTTATGGATTCCATATAAATGGGTGGGTGGGGCGTCAAGTTGATTGTCATGACATCGCAGAAGTTATCCCTCGATAACTCGACGAGTGAACAGTGACTGAATTCGGAATTTCAACTGGACTCGCACTATTTATTCCAATCCAATCGATACCTGGTGGGACTTCTCCGATGCGGCCCCGACGACGAGCTTTCAGTGGAACCACTACCGAATGCAAATTTAATTTGAACGCGGGGCTTCCCCAGAAACTGGTACCGTCAACTTTCCGGCCATTCCATCAATCCCCACCCATCATTCAACCCTCGTCCTGAAGAAAATTTGATGGAGAATTCGATGGAGAGTTACCGCTCGTCTTTCATGATTAAACTAGATTTTTGCGACAGTCGAATCTCTACGATAAATCCGGTAAATTTCAATTCATCATCGTAATCCAGGGCTAAGAGTTGACGTGTGACCTTGAAGATTACCCAATGCACCCCCAACCAGAACTGATCATTACCAAAACAACTCTTATTTTTTATCACCCCTATATCCCCTATATTTATTATAAATTGTTACAAAAATATTCAAGAACTTAAAAACGCAATTATTTGTTTATTCATAGATAAATAAAATCACTTTCCAAAGGCTATTCAAAAATAACGAACCAGAAATTCGAATTCACTAGCTGGAAAATTCCATAAATTTTATTGAAGTTGGTGGACTGGAAGAAAAATACATATTTGGAGGACAATTTTTCCTCGGAAGCCTCCTCTTCTCCAGATGGCTGAAAGTACAAAATAATGCAGATGATATAAAATCGTGGGAATATATGAGGGGTAGGATGGCACTGGCTCTCAAAGGGAATCCATAAAAAAAAAAAAAATATCCTGAAGGGCGGAAGGATATGATCGAGTCAAAAGGAAAGCCCCAGACACTCGCCAGTGGTACATCTGTGAAATGATAACCACGGGAAAGACGAGAAAGTTCACCCCGGCATTTCCCCGTCTTCCATTTTTAATAAAAATCCCCCGATGGAATAACCGATAGCAGTCTCGTTATCATACCCTCTCTCAATTTCTCATTGTTTTTTTTTTCTTCTCTGACTCACAATGGGGGTTGACGAGGTTCATTGAAGATCGTCGCTCCAATTGTTCCTCAATTGCGTTATTGATGGGTGAATATGTGGAGCAAGTGTACGGCTGAAAGGCTGACAGAGAGCGATGGGCATGAGTGTTGGGTGAAAAAAGTACGTCCAGTCTACATCTTGGAGCACAAAGATCTCTTCAAGTCGGTGTGAGAACACTTGGGGTCATGAACTCCCGGCAGTTTTCTCTCAAGATCAGTTATAGCTTCAGTCCTGAAAGTCATCTTCTGGAGATGAACGCAAACTTCTCCAGGTGGAAAAGAAAATCCAGAGGTACTACAGAAAACGAAGAGATGAGCTCAGACTTGAAGAAGTTGGGATAAATCGTCGACGCTATTCACTGGGTAGTGAATACCTTTCAATTTGTCTTTCAATTTGTATGAAAAAGAACTTGAAGTCACTGAATTCAAAATTCAAAATATATTCTA